AGCAGCCCCCTTCACCTGCCCCGCTTCGCCAAGAACCGTCACACTCCAGCGGCAAACCCGCGCGCCCAAAGCGGGACAAACAGCACCCCCCAGAGTCGCGGCATCTCCTTCCCTCAAACCCGACCCCACCCCACCCCAACTCCCAGTGGCATTCCTCAACGTACACCGACATCCAAACGGACGCCAGCACGCCCATGCAGCGGGCAAACCCTGCAGTGCGCCCAATCACTCGGCAGCAGGCGGAGCGAGGCCATGGGCGCGTTTCCCCGTCTCCCTTCTCCCAATCCTCTCTCCTCTCCCTTATTCACCCTCCGTTGCCCCCACCCCCCACCCCCCAAGTTTGTCGCCTCTTCTCACCACAGGCCCCGCCTCCGCGCCCTCGCCTTCACCACCCGGTAGGCGTTCCCCGGCCCCCCGAACGCCACCACGTCCCCGGGCCGGATCCTCTTCGGCGCGAACGGCCTGATCTTCTCCCCGTTTACGAACGTTCCTCCGTCGGAATCCAGGTCTGTCACGTAGTACGCCACCTCCGGCCGCCGCCCGACGCCCAGCCCGGCCATCCACCTCGGCCCGGCGTCCTCCGGAACGCCCTCGATCCTCGCGTGCCGCTCGGACACCCCTTGCAAAGACACACTTGAATTCCCCCCACGGGCATCCACGGCGCCTATAAATGCGGCTTGGGTCCCAGAAAGGCGAAATCCGCCCTCCAGCGCCGCTATGCGTTCATCCCTGCCGGCGGGGCGCGTCTCAGACGGCACCAGCACGGCGCAGCCGTCTGGAACGGCGCCGCAGCCGTCCGCGTCGCACTCCGCGATGCCTCTGTCCCAGAGGGACTCGCCTTCGCCTCTCCGGTTCCGCGGTGGCACCTGAGCGGGCGGTGACCGCAAAGAGTCCCGGACGCTGCCGACGTAGAAGGCCGGGACGTCGAGGGCGTTCCAGCCGCCCGCGACGCGGGATGAGCCGCTGGCGTTGGCGTGAATCTTGCGGGCGCTTGGGGATAAGGGGGTGGGGCGAATGGGCCCGGGGCGGAGCGGCGGGGTGCTGGCTGGCCGGAGGGGTTGGCCCGTGCCGTGCACGTCCATTGCAGACAAGGTTTGGCGAGGGGAGTGTCGCGGGGCCGCTGAAATGGGCGCGTTCAAGTGGCCCTGACGTGGGGCTGAGTCAGGCATCGGCCATGACACGTGCGCTTTTGCGTGCTCTGGATTGCTGGCGTGGCCGCGCTTTTTTGCGTTGCGCTGACTGCGTCGCTTGGCGTTGCTGGCGCTGCATTTGCTTTTGGCGTTGGCGTTGGCTTGCGCTGCTCGCGTTGCGTTGGTCGGAGGGGAGGGCACGTGGGCGCATCCAACCAGTGCTGGCAGCTCTTTGCTGCAGGCCGCGCGCGCTCCACCAGTCAGTGTACCGAGGCTCAAAAGCAAAGCAATCGGAACTTGCAGCGTTGGTATGAAGTTGGCACTGGTGTTGAAGGCTTGTGGGAGGCGGTGTGGCTTCCCCCTCCTTGGTGAATTTCCTTGGATTACGGTTGTTCGCCAAAGACCAAATTCCTGTGGTTCCAGGTCGTCAAGGAGGCCAACACGAACAGCCTGTTGGCAGCAAGGCTCCGACTCGTAGTTGCGCACAAAGATGCAGCCATCATCGCAAACATTTCCACGGGAACGTCGTCAGAACGGGCAGACATAGTGATTTCTGGGCTAGCGAAACCCGGATTTAATTCTATTTTTGTTTATGCATTGATACCGTGATTGCAAATTATATTACACTATTGCGGAAATTGGTAAGAACCTGCTCATATACCTGGAAAGCTCTTTTGCGTTGGTGCAACTGCGCACCACGGACCGAGGTGGGCGTCGGAGTAGGCCTCTCTGATCCCGGACGCCTCTTTCTTTCTGAATTCGGCCAATGTAAACATTCCAGTTAGTCATAGCAATGCCAAGTCCTTGGCGTTCAGTGCGCGATCATGAATTAGTCTCTGTTCAGCGAGCTAGAGGGCTTGATGGCTAGCTCACTGGCAAGATATCCTATTGAGTTTTAACTGGATCATAGGATGAACTAGCTGGCATTCCCTTTATATAGCATCCCACAACGTGCATTGTTGCGACGGCAAAACACAGCCAGATCCAGTGCTTTGCGGTCACTAACGATCAAACAGAAAGAAAGCTGCCTCATCGAAACAGCGACGACTCCATCTCAACAACCCCAAGCCCTGTTCAACTCTCTCTCTACACGCTTGAGCAAGAACAGGTTCTTTCGCAGCAACTGGCACTGTACAAGGTGGCGCAGCAGCCGATCAGCGACATGGGCCAGTCAATCCTGTACTGCAGCATGAATATCTCGCACCCCTTGAGGTCGTCAGAGTTGTTCCTGAACGGTTCGCAGTCCACCAAGCTATAGTTCTTGCCCGTTCGAGCACCACCAGCGTGTGTGCGTCGTCCTCGACCTGTCAGCTCTAGCTTTTCATGTGTGCTGCGGGTATGAAGAAGGTGAGCAGAGCAACCTCCAGGAAAGGAGGCGCAGGTGCAAGATCTGGGAAGGCTTCTTGCCCAGCTTCTTCACTGCAGTGTTCAGTCAGTGTCCCATCTTTCCATGTGGTGCAATACGAATGGCCTCATGGACAAGCCAAAAGGCCAGTTTCGCTGCTCGAACACACTCAACTGTGATGCAAGGAGTCGTCTTAGATAGGTTGAAGGATGTTCTCGTGCATTTTCAGTGGTTTCTCAGCAACTGATTATGTACATGAACAACTTTGTCAAAAGGGAAAGGTAGTTTGGGGATGCCAGAGGACTTACGCTCTAGTGAGTGTCTGGGAAGGTGATTAGCAATTGGCCAGAAACGTCAGATACTAGTATTGTAGGATGTGCCAACCACTGCCTTGAAGGTGAAAGGGCAGTGCAAAACTGATGTTGGGAAACATCGTCTGACTGGAATAGCGGTTTGTGACTGTGGCTTGCCAGATTATGTAGAAATTCCACAATACCTGCCATATCCCCTAACACTGTATCTCTAAACGTCCAGTACCTTGAACTTCATTTTCTGAACTATGGACACCTCCAAAACGGGGATGGAGAGCATCTGTTGGCATGAGGCTCTGATATGTCTTGGGCAAATAAGAGAAAGCCAAGAGCAGTTTGTACAAGTGCAATGCTTTGCACAATCTTGTGGAATCCAGCCCAAGGAGTTTACAGCAATGTGAATATGCACAAGGATAGTGGGCTCAGGGAACCCTGTGCATAAGCACAGGCAAATGTTGTTGTTGTCGTTGTTGATCAATTGATATGGAGTTTCCTGAAAGCGCTCATTCTCTGTTCCGTGCTATCTCCCCACAGCTCTACAACCTTAATACCATACCCTGAAAGGGTCATTGTTGTCCTTGTGATCCACACCTAAGTTAGGGAAGAGTGAACGAGAATAGTGACGCTCAATCACGTGGTCCAAAAGGAAGAAGTGCTCCAGACCCACAGCCGCAGGATCAACTGCAGCTCCCTCACAACCAGCTCCACGAATGCTCAGATGGCCTCCAGGTGGGCTCCATGGATCAGTGTAACATTCGTTTTCGAAAAGTCGCAGGTGTTGTGCTCGCCCAGGGTGCAAGGGCCACTTCACCGCCCCTTCGCACTCCCAACGTCAATGATCTGTTTTGCCCCTATGCGGATCACGTCCGCCAGGTCCTCAGAAAACTTGAGCACCACGGGCACAAGGTTCACTTGGCCGTCCCTCTCCAAGTGGCCGAACTGCAGCCTATACCTGTGCGCCAGCGCCCATTGCATAAGCCCTCTGCCGCGTTGTCCTCGAAATTGCGCGTTTTCCTGGATCCTGAACTCCCCGGGGGGGTCATTCAGCAAGCTCATGCACAGCCACCGCTTCAATGCAGGGCTTGGCGCCCGCGCCGATCACCATGTCCAGCGGGCCCCGCGCGCTGGCGTCCCCTGCGCCAGCGGCGCGGCAGCCTCCTCTTGGCCAAGCGCCTGCTTGGGGCCCACCCCGCACCCCGCCGAAGAATGGGCGCCCGGAGATTGGCGACCGGATTGGTGCTTGGGGCGCGCAGACTCCGCCATCACAGCATCAGTTTGCGGTTTCGATCGCGGGTCAGGCGGGGGCTCATCCAGGCTAGGGGTCGGGCAGCCGCCGTGAACGGGCCAGCGACGGCCGGCCGGACCTCCGCCCCCGCCGTGGCGTCGCTTCCCCTCGTGCCACCGCCTGTCCCGCCCACCCGTTCGAAAATCCTCATTTGGCGGAAGCGATGGCATCTTCCCGCCCCGCCAAAATTTTGGCGGGCTTTTGACGCCGACAGCATCTGGGCGAAAGCGCCCAAAAGAGGAAGAAACCCTGGTGAGTAGCACAACAAACACACACGTGGCCGCGTGACCAACGGGCCACAGCGTCTTCATTGTCACGATGAGATGCGGAACGCTGGGGGGGGCCAGGCCGGTGGCTCAGTGAGGCGGACGGCGCGCTCGTCGGCGTCCTCGACGGGGCGCTGGAAACCGTCGACCCCGAGGGAGCCGTCGGAGGGCGCAAGTCAGCCCAGCCTCCCCATCTCGCAGAAACTGTGAGGGGCCCTGCGCCCGCGTCGGTCCTAACGCACTGCGGCCGTGGCGCGATCGGAGCCGAAGCGGAAACGAGGGAGGGGGGGAGGGGCCCTGCCGCGGGGAGGCTTTGGTTTTGGAGGGCCGTGGGTTGGATTCGCTGGGGGTGAGAGGGGCGGGCATGCTGTGAGGCGATCGAGGCGCGGAGGGGGCGTGTTGGGAGGCCAGGGGGGAGAGTGGGCATTGCGTTCTCACTGAACGGCCCAGTCGGGGGCTCTGGGAGCCGCCCCGGATAACGGCGCAGCGGCTGCCGGGCCTCGCCCTCCTCCTCGCTCGCGAAGGACGCTACTTCCGGCAGCGATTTGCGCCAACGCTTAGAGTGCGACGAAGGCGGGGGGCCCGCCCGGGCCGGCGGTTCCTTTCCACAGAAACGTCGGCCAGGGGAGGCGGGCCCCTTCGGAATTGAATCTCCAGCGCTCTATGCTGCGCCCTCGCGGGGTTCCGCGGCGCGCCAGGCCGACATCGGCGCGAAGGAGGGGCCAGGCGGGGGGAGGGGAAGCGATCTTCTTTCTGTACACCAGGCTGCTGGAGGTGGTGGAGAATCTGGAGGCCAATGGCCCGGCGCCAAGGCTCGCGAACGGCTCCTCGAAACCCAGGGGGCCCCCAGCGCAGGAACGCAAGGCTTCGCGCCGCAAGGCCCCGGCCTTCGACCTGGTGGGCAGCATGCGGAGCAGGGTGGCGCTGCTCCAGAAACAGCCGATTTTCAAAATCGGGCATCGCTGGAGCTCGGCGGCGAAGCTGGCGGGCAAGAGGCGAGAGTTGTGGAAGCGCGCAGGGGGGCTATGGTTCGTGGTTCCCCAGCCGCGGAATGGCGAGCCCGCCCCGCCTGGGTGCGTGGTCAAGGCCCATAGGCCGCGTGATCGTCAGGCCAAGCGGGGCGTGTTGGACGGGCACGCTGGGCGTTTGTTCTCCCCCGCCAAGGCTCTCGAGCCCCGCGAAGATTCAGGAGATCGCGAAGACCCCGTGGCCGCGAGCGCGGAAGAGGGAGAAGGGGGCAGCGGCAGGATCACTGGCTGCGCCAGGTGCCTGACGATCGATCAAGTGCGGCGCCTGGGACGGCGAAAGCCGCCGCCGCGACTTCCGGCGCTGTCTGAGGAGCCGTTGAGGGGCCAGGGCAGCGACTGGTGCCGCCCGCGGGGCTCCAAGGGGCTGCACCAGGCGCTGCAGGACGCGCTGGAGGACATCCGGAGGGACAAGTTCGTGGTGCGGCGGTCAGCGATCGACACCCTGGGGGTGTACGCCACGGAGGCGATCGCGGAGGGGATGGTGCTGATGGAGTACACCGGGGAGATGGTGCGGCGGACGGTGGCCGACCTGCGGGAGAGGGAGTACATGGCGCGCGGCCTGGGCTGCTACTTCTTCGGCGTGGGCAGGGACTACGTTGTGGACGCCACGGCGATGGGCGGCATCGCCAGGTACGTAAACCACTCCTGCGACCCCAACTGCTACACCAAGCTGCAGTACCCCGCGCGAAACCACACCAGGGGGAGCGTGTCCCTGGAGGACCAGCACAGGCGGATGGTGGTGCTGCGGGCCAAGAGGGACATTGCGCCCGGCGAGGAGCTGACCTACGACTACAAGCTGTCGCCGGCGGAGGGCGCGCCGGCGCTGCCGGGCCAGGAGAGGGCCGACGGGGTGGGCGTCATACGCTGCACCTGCAACGCGCGGAACTGCCGGCGCTACCTGTGAGCCCCCGGCCGCCGTTCGTGTGTTTGTGTTCGACGACCGGATTCGGCACACACGGTGTCGTTCGAACGACGGATTCATGCGGATGCATGGCGCCGGATCTGAAAGGCGTCCGCGGGACGATCAGGAATGGGGCAGCGATGCCCTGGACACCTGGGCGCGATGTCGCACGTCTGCGCCCCCCTGACCTCGCTGGTCCAGCGGTTCGGCGACCGGGTGGCCACCGCGTGCGGCGATCGGCGCCGTACGGGCCGCCAGCTCCATGGCAGGGTGGCCGCGCTGTCGATGGCGCTGCGTGAGACCCTGGGCGTCGGACCGGGCGTCACGGTCGCCATCGCCGCCCTGTCGACCGATCGATTCTTCGAGGCGATGCTGGCGGTGGCGGCGTGCGGCGGCGTGCTGGCGCCGCTGAACTGGCGGTGGAGCGCCCGGGAGGCCGCGGTAGCCGTGGAGGTGGTGGAGGCGTCGGTGCTGGTGGTGGATCAGGAAAGCCTGCACTTCTGGTCCCACCTGTGTGAGGTGTGTCCCAGCCTGCGGTCGGGGGTGGTGCTGTGCGAAGGGTTGCCCAACGGCGCCCGGCGGGGCGACAGGCTGCATTCGTCCGAAGAGCTGATCGCTGCCCACCCCCGGGCGGAGCTTCGAATCGCGACTTCCCCGGACGGCGTGGCAATCATATGTTTCACCTCCGGCACGACATCATCGTCCAAGGCGGTGGCCATCAGCCACGCGGCCTTCCACAGTCAGTCCTTGGCGAAGCTGGCGGTGGTGCGCTACGGCAGTGGCGACGTGTACCTGCACACGGCGCCGCTGTTCCACATCGGCGGCCTGTCGTCCGCCCTGGCGATGCTGATGGCCGGGGCGGTGCACGTGTTCATGGCCAAGTTCTCAGGGCGGGGCGCGGTGGAGGCGATCCAGGAGACCCGTGTGACTGCGCTGATCGCCGTGCCTACGATGCTGGTGGACATGGGCGCCGCTGCGCAGGGCGGGAGCCTGCCGTCGGTGACCAAACTGCTCGTTGGAGGAGGGCCAATGAGTGCCGCCCATCAGGTGGGGGGCAGTGATCCTTCAAGAAAGCGTGACGCTGCGGCTGGAGGCATTGTGAATTCGATGAGCACGGCATTTGTAAGAAGGTTTTGTAGGCGTTTCGGTATCCAGCAAGCTAGGATGCAGATGCAACATCTGCTGGCGTCAACAGATATTTGGGGCTGTTATTGGAAGCAATGCAATCAGAAGGGCGTGACAGGGAGACGGATTTGTTGCTGCAAGTGGTGGCGCAACTTCATCTTGCTACGTCCTTGTGGATAGCGTGCCATCTCATGTGCTTGTTTGGTGTAAACCCATTGATTGCAATTGTCAAAAAGTGATAAACACTACCCTTGCGCCTTCAAGGCCTTGTTGGGTTTGTTTTGTGTAGGTTGATGAGCAGATTGTACAACTGCAATCGCCATACCCATATAGTGAAGATGTTAATTTGGAGCATCAGATTGCGATGTTGTGCTCATGCTGCCAGTAATCAAACGTTTTGACGGCTCTGACTTCTCAGTGGCCTTTTTGATCCAGGATATCACAACCCATCTTTTCCCAAATGCGACTGTCACCACTGCTTACGGCATGACAGAGGCCTGCTCCTCGATCACCTTCGACGGGCCCTTTGAGCCAGGAAGCTGGAGGGAAAACAGAACAGAACATGGTGCCTGTGCGGGCGTTGCGGCTCCGGGTGTGGAGCTTTGCATCGACACTGGTGAGATAATTCTCTTGATTAAACTTATCTTGCAAAGTTAGAGTGTTATACGTTGGCCTGCTGAGAGATGCAGGCCAATTTCTGCCACTGCAGTTCATTAATCGCTTTTCCTTTTCGATTTATCTGCATCAGGAGCCTGAATGCTGTTCATCATCTAGAGCATTAGGCAGCATGTTGGGCTTTGGCAAGCAAATTGACAGGTGGCCACACACCCTGTGTTTTCCCCTGAAGTTCCTATTGGCAGCTGCTGCGGCTGCTGCTGCGGCTGCTGCTGCGGCTGCAAGCACTCTGTGCCACACGCATACACAAGCAAAGTGTGCATAGTATTGTCCAGCCCCAATTATGTGAAAATTCTTCAACCAGTACAAGTTCAAATGGCTGGAAAGGGGTGGCCGCCCCATCAAGAACAGTGTCTATAGTGCCCCTCTGACAGGGCCATAAGGCAACAACACCACGTAGTTGCATTGACAGTCCAGTGCAGGGGGGTACCTTGTTGAGAATGTTGCCAAAGTGGCGCAGGTGGTGATGGGCACAATGGCCCAGGGCGACAACTTGCATGGGCCAATTGATCATGCAATGAGTGTGTTGGATGACAGCCCCAGTGTGCGTTGCCTGGGAGCATGCACAACTTGTGTGGTGCATCACAGCACACAGTTGACCGTTGCGTATGAAGTGGCCTCTGTTGAACAGTGACAATATCATGAAATGTTGTGGGAGGGCGCTGCAGCTCCGTATTTCATACACTCAGAATCGGTGACGTGCAGCTTGGCTTGGCAGTGTGGATTGACGAGTCTCTGAGTGAAAGGGATGGAAACAACGCACCATTGCATAGGAACTGGGCTCACTGCACAGTTGAATAACATGTAACAGTGAAACTGTCCTTGGTCCTTGGTTGGTACGAGGAGCTCCAGGCGTCGCGCCTTGGATGCAAGGGTGGTGATGCACAAGCTGTTAAAGAAGTGCATTGATTCCAGAGTGCACGCCGTACCAAGTGACCGTTTATGTCGCCTTTGGCGCAGACGTCCCAGGAACCGAAGGCGAGGTGCTGACAAGGGGCCCGCACACCATGACGCGTTATCTGGGCAAACCGGCCGCCACCCTGGCGGTGCTCTCCCCCGACGGTTGGCTCCGCACGGGCGACGTCGGCCGGCTGGACGCCGGTGGCCGCCTGTGGCTGTCCGGCCGCAAGAAGGACATGATCAAGACGGGGGGCGAGAACGTGCACGCATCGGAGGTGGAGGCGGTCGTGCGGTCGCATCCTGGCGTCGTCGACGTCGCGGTCGTGGGAGTCGCTGACGTCAGGCTGGGCGAGCTGGTGGCCGCGGTGGTGTCGATCGCCGACGGCTGGTCATGGAAAAATTCATCTGACGGCGGCTCGGGCAGCGGCGCGCACAAGCTGGGGATCTGGATCGGTCCCAGGGAGGGGAGGGGGCCGGGGCGGGGCCCCGGGGCCCGCTCCAAGACGCTGTCGATCGAGGGGGTGCAGGAGGCGTGCGTGAGGGGGGGCCTGGCGCGCTACAAGCTGCCGAGGGTCGTGGCCGCGTGGAGGGCCGAGCTGCCGAAGACGTCGTCCGGGAAGGTGAAGAAGGGGGAGCTGAGGGCGAGGTTGGGTGCTGTGCTGCGTCGGATTCCGAGCAAGCTGTAGTGCCCGGCGCTTGTCGCGGCTCTTGCGTTCATGGGGAATGCGACTCGCAGAGCCGTTGTTCACAGTTTTGTGTGCGTCATCGCGGAGGGAGGGGAGCGGGGAGGGGGGGTGGCTGGGGAGAGGACAGCGGGACGCGCCGCGCCCAATTGGAAGAGAAATTTGTGTCAATGTCTCCATCGGATGTTCGCGTGCACCCGAGAGATCCCAAGCATTGAAGCCGCGGTCACGGATGACGCTGAATAGCGGCAGCCTGAAGCCTTGCACATCGTCCGCTGGCAACGGTGGACGGGCGAGCTGCGAGGCGCACAATTCGTTCCTAAAGGGAATGGGAATGTCGGCAACGACAGCTTGGCAGTGGGTCTATTGTTTGACTGGGACTCTTGACAGTTCAACCATTCAACAATGGCGGCGAACGGGGAAAATAGCCCATCCACAGCTTATGGGTTGAAATTGAGAGCCGCACAAGAGCCATTCTGGCAACAGGATGGTCAATCAGTGTCTAAACGAAAGAAGGTACGTAACCAGCAAACTTCAGCCAACGCTTCAAAAAGTACTAGGGCAAAAGGAAGCTGTGAAGGAATCACTGGGGATGGTGGTGCGAAGCCGTGCACAGCGGGCAAAGCAGGGCTACAACCTCACGGCAGGTCATCCACCACCTTGTAGTGATTCTGCCCACTCCGTCCACACCTTCGCGTCTGTACATACCGTCCCGTCTGTCCACAACTGCGTACATGACGTCTGATCATATCATCATGCCGTGCACATCATATGAGCACATCATCGCAGTGGGCAGGAAAAGGTTGCTAAATTTATTGCGACTGTGAAATTATATTCTTGGCGACAGCGCAAAAGCTGTTGGTTTTTGCGAAAACACGACTCGGCGGCACACCGGGACAGGACGATACGGATTCGGTTTCCCGCGCCACCGATTTCCCCACTACGGTGTACCGCCCCGGGAGCCGTCCCATCATCGCGCCGTACCCGCCCCGCCAGCAACACCATTTCCTGCGCCAACGAGCACCGCCGCACCCCCAACGCACCCTCTCCCCTCGCCACCCCCCGCCCCTCGCCAGCCCACGTTCGGCCGCCCGGCGCCATGGACGAGGAGTACGACGCCATCGTGCTGGGCACCGGCCTCAAGGAGTGCATCATCAGCGGCCTCCTGTCCGTCGATAAGTACAAGGTAGGCCGACCAACCGGGCACTCGTGGCGGAAGACGCCCCCCGCGGTGGCCATCTCCGTGGGATGCCATCGGGCGCTGATTTCGGTGCCGGATTGCGTCACAGGTGCTGCACATGGACAGGAATGCCTACTACGGCGGCGAATCGGCGTCCCTGAGCATGTCACAGGTGCGGTGTGGTGTCTCACAGCGCGGGGGCCCGTCACGGGGCTCGTCGCTGCCGGGCGCCTGCCCCGCGGCCGGTCCGAGCCGCGACCGGCGCCGGCGCTCTGGGATCGCCCCCCACGGGAGCGTGCCCTCCCAAAGATGCCCCACCTCACCCGATGGAACCCGCGCCTCCTCAGATGTTTGAAATGCTCGCCGCGGGCCTCGAGAGGGGATCTATGTCCTTATGCGGGGCAATCCGCGCCGCTGCCGCGCCCCACTGCCCCGATTTTGGAAGGCCGTGGGGATGCCCCGTCGCTGAGGTGCTCCCACGAATCTGTGCGCCCGGCAGCTGTGGGAGAAATGCGGGAACGGCGGGTCGCCACCGGCCTCGCTGGGCGCCAATCGCGACTACAACATCGACATGGTGCCCAAGTTCATCATGGCCAACGGCCAGCTGGTGAGGGTGCTGATTCGGACCACCGTGACGCGGTACCTGGAGTTCAAGGCCGTGGACGGCAGCTATGTGGTCAACAAGGGGAAGGTCAACAAGGTGCCCGCGACGGACATGGAGGCCCTCAGGTCGTCGCTCATGGGCGTGTTCGAGAAACGGCGAGCCAGGAGCTTCTTCATGTGAGTTGCTCGGGATGGCGGGGTGGGCTTGGCGTGCCCTTGCTGAATGTGTGAGTGTCTGCATATGGAAGATTGGGGTCTGTTCTGTGGATTCAGTCTTGCCCTGTGGCTGACGGGGACGAGGTCGCAGTGCTGGAACCGTAGACACCCAAAGCTCTGTTCGCTGTTGGACAAGGTCGAATTCCGATTGTGGCACAGAACCACCACGATGGCCTGGCAGGATTCTTCCACTGGGTCTGTGGCGGCAGTGAAGGATTTGCGGATCTGGAACAGTGTCAACTCGTGGTTGATACATTATTCGACCCATTCCTCAGCTGTGTCCCATGCACGGCCAGAAGCAATTTTTGTGCGCTGTTTCCTGCCAGTGACGAAGGGGGAAGTTAGAGAGTATTTTGAGGGATCCACCTCCCACAGCCACACCATTCCTTGTCTTTGAAGTCTTGTTGTGAATTGCTTTTGACACCTGTCCTTTCGCGTGGTGGTCCCTTGCTGCTGTTCTTGAATATTTTGGATGCCATCGAATTGGTTGCTGACATTGAGGATGGCTGGTCACATGCAGGCCCCCTTGCCTGTTTTCCATTGCGCAAGGGGTGTGAAAGGGCGTATCCTTGTGCAAGATGTGATTTTTTAGGGGTGTTGAAGTGCGTGGGACAGTCGCACAGCTTTGTGGAGTGCTATTCTCTGAAGCACAGCAGGTCTTGGCAGAGGCAGTGGCATGGAATATGTTCTATGTTGGGCTGGGCTGCTTCACAGAACTCTCCTGCTTTCTGTTACCGAAGCACGATGGAAGGATCCAAGATCATCCTTTGAGGCTGGGGGCTGTCCAGCTCTTCGAGTTGCTTTGCCTTGGATGACTGTCTGCATTATTGAGCACATCCCGTTTGAAGAACTTTCAATAATGCAGATGGATGTGCATCCCTTGTTCTTGGTATGCAGCCTGTTACACTGTTGACACAGCATTGCCTGTGACAGCTATGTGCAAGAATACGAAGAGAAAGACCCCCGCACACACAAGGGCCTGGACCTCAACACCATGACCATGGCACAAGTCTACGCCCATTTCAAGCTGGAACCCATGACCATAGAGTTCATCGGCCATGCCCTTGCGCTGCACAGGGACGACTCGTACTTGGACAAACCAGCCCTGGAGACAGTGAAGAAGGTTAAGCTGTACCATGACTCATTGGTTCGCTATCCAGACCTAAGGTCGCCATACATATACCCCCGGTATGGACTCGGAGAGCTGCCCCAGGTGAGCTTTCAATGCACAGTAAGCCAATCCTGCTGATGTTCTTCAGTGCGGCAACCCCAGAATCATTTGTGGCTTTGTGTCACCTCCATCATGCTTACCTCCTTTAGAACATTGCGATGCCCTTTCTGTGGCAATCGCTATCTCACATTGGAATTCTGTGTCTGCCAGGCACATGCATCCAGGCAAAGCTGCAACAATTCTGGTTGTGCCATTTAGTCGATGATGCCTGCGAATGAGGCCCTCAGCCCTTCGATATCCTCCCCTTCTCAACTGTGTCAACTTGTCGTGGTGTGCCCAGGCCTTCGCCCGGCTGTGTGCAGTGTACGGCGGCACGTACATGCTCAACAAGAGTGATGCAGAGGTGGTGTATGATGACAACGGAAAAGCTGTGGGTGTGAAGAGTGAGGGGGAAACCGCAAAGTGCAAGTTTGTGGTGGGCGACCCCAGCTATTTCAGCAACAAGTACAAGAAGACAGGAGAGGTCGTCCGTGCCGTTTGCATACTGGTATGTAACGTACTGCAGCACTATGTGCTTCACCAAGCATCTGTTGTCTCCTTAGTGGTCTTTGGACAACACACGTGTCGCCCCTTGCCTGAATCTTTGCTTCAATTTACATGTGAGGCATTTTGTGGAGCATATCTTCTCCTATATTTCTGATATGCTATCTTTGTGCCCTACCTTGTCATGTTGCGCTTTGCCTATCCATGACTCCTCGCTGTGTGATCGTCAGATCGAGACAGATGTCTTTGATTTGGGCTCTGAAAGGGCAGGGAAGGGCATGTGAATTGGCAGCCCTCATATCTGCAAGCAAAATGTGCGGCTGGCATTGTCTGTGAGGAAAAAAAATTGCAATCGCTGCCAGCATCCACTGATGACCGTCTTCTGTTGCCGACGGAGGACAGTTCAGTAGCGGAGGATGTACTGCACTCTGTGATGGCCAGGCTGCACATGTGTGTCTATATGTGCAGAGACTGTTGGTTTGTTATCTGGTTTTGGGTCTAGCCTGAGCGCGCCACAGGTGGTCTTGATGTTGACCAGCCTTTTGTGCTTCGATGCAGAATCACCCCATACCAAACACCGACAACGCCCATTCCACCCAGATCATTCTCCCCCAAAAGCAGATAGGAAGGCGGTCGGATATGTATGTCTTCTGCTGCTCCTATGCGTAAGTGCCTCTCAAGACATGTCTGAGCCTGCCTCCAAATGTGGATGTAGGGAAGCATGTCCACTACACCTGTACCTGGAGCTATGATTCAATTGTACGATATTGGGTCTGTTGCACCTTTGTGGTGCAGTATTGAGCTGCCATGTCGCTTTTGTTGTGTGGCGCTACACGTGTTCCTATTAGGATCCTCTGCAGGATTCCTTGGAGCCATTCTTTGTGTTGCTAGAATTGTGAGCGTCCTTAACCATTGGGAAGTTGTATCATGCATCTTCGATTGCCATGCCAGGCACCAGCAGTGCAGCCCACAGCCTTGTGGGTGTCCATGTCCAGTGGCTCCCAGGCAGCTTGCTGCTCCTTGAATGAACCGACTGATGTAGCCTGTTTGTGCATGCAGACACTGTGTGGCCCCACAGGGGAAGTGGATTGCGTTTGTGAGCACCACTGTGGAGACTCAGAACCCTGAAGCAGAGCTGGCTCCTGGCCTGGCCCTGCTCGGGCCCATTGAGGAGCGCTTTGTGCAAGTGACCCCCATCTATGAGCCTCATGAGGATGGCAAATCGTGAGCCCAGGATACCGCCTCTGCACACACAGTGTCTGTGCCACCAGGGTGGTGGCTCAATAGATGTTCAGCGACAGACTTGTGTTGCCCAACTTATCTCCTGGCTGGTGGCATGTAGTGCAATTGTGTGCAACAATAAGAGCATGCTCTCCACGGACTATGGATGACTGGGCTTCCCTGGAGGAAAAGTTAATCTTTGCCTCCATCCCACCTGTACCCAGATTGTAAAATACTACCCGTAGTATGTGAAAACAGCAAGTTGAGAAGGTTCATACTGGCTCATGGTGCCATGCTTGTTGCTTCAGTGGGCCAGTCAATACACCCAAAGCGGACCAAACGCCTGAAGCGTAGCTCGCTGCCTACACTATGTTGTTTGTGGCACAGCACATTCCACCTGTTTGTACATAGATGGAGATGACATGCATGGGTACATTTACAGTATGTTGCCCTCTTTTTGTGTTGTATACCCCAGTGTGGCAACGGTCCAACGTCTGGGCCTATTTTTGCTGACATTGTGCTCATGCCCAAGCATGTATACTCCTACATGTCCCCTGGTAATGTCAGGTTGATGATGGCCCACTGGTTGAATCCACTGTGTATCGCCCCAAAGTGGTCAGGCTGAAATGATGCTGAGGGGCAAGATGTGCGCAAATTGTGATTTGCTTTTCCAATGCTGTGCACAGAATGTATGAGATGCCAGTTCAGTTCAGTTCAGTTGCCAGAACCTGACCTCCGACCTTTGGTGCTTGGCTCCAGGGACAACTGCTTCATCTCCAAGGGTTATGACGCTTCCACCCATTTCGAGGACACTGTGAATGACGTCATCGATTTGTACCAACGCATCACTGGAAAGGTAGTGCCCTCTTTGTTGGGCTATGTTTCACCCTGCTGAAGAAGATGATACCCGAGGGTTTGGGATGCTATAGGCCATTCAGGTGGAACAGTTCCATCGCCAATGCGCTCCATGAAGAGCTGGGAGCATTGGATCCTAGATTATTTCGTTGATACAAGATAGATTGATGTCGTTCCAATTTCCAGTGATGTTGTTCAGAGAAAGCAGCTTTTGGACACCACAATGGGCCCACTGGCTATAAAATGTGCACATTGGCAGTCACTGCAATTGTGTGCTTCAGTGCGATCGTTCATGTCTATTGCCGGCGCGTTTTGGGGGCTTTCGGAGCCCATATTGTGAAACTGTCCGTCTGGTTTCTGTTTGCAGCTCGTTTATGGGGTGTTGCAGTACGGTTTTAGTTTCAGTCCATGGCTTTTTATTCTAGGTCTGCTTTAGGATTGAGGATCTGTGCACAAGGGGAAAACCCTGTAAATGGACAAGGGTTTCTTTTGGGCGTGCACTGTAAATGCCCAATATCCGGGCTGCAGACACACAGGATCCTGTGGTATTGCCACAATGGTTGTTTCTATTTCCGTTGCCTGTTTCGCTGTTTTGTTGTCATGCTTTTCTTGCCTTTTATGTGCTCTTATCTGGGATGGGTACTCTTGATGTGGAAACTAAGCGAGTGGCAGATCGGTACAGCACATGTTTTGTAGACCCAAGTTTGGCAGTGGGACTAACCGGGTGCCCTCAGATAACGACTTGTTAGTTCATGCCATTGTGAATATCTGGATACAGCGAAGTCTTGTGTGCCACCTGCATGGAAGACTAAAATAAGCAGGCCGTTGACACAACGGACAGCTGTTGTCTGGCACTCTGTTTGATGCGTGTGCCAGGCTAGCTTTGACTGACCTTCCAGCTGGAACTGTTTGGATGGGCCTGATGGAGTGCACTGGCCCTTTCCCAGTTTTTGTTCTCATATTTCCTTGCTGATCATGAGTTGCTCTCTGATGTGCATCTTCAGGTATTGGATCTGAGCTCAGAAGACCCGATGGTGGCAAACACTGAAGTGTAGGACCATGGACGTCATCGTCGTCCTTGGCACTGTGGATGGTTGGCTGGCTGCATTCGTTTCTGGCAGCATCAGAGGAAGGCAGCAGGACTTGGCTCTGGAAAAATGCACCAATTGCTGGTTGTTGAAGTGTCAGTGTGATGGCTTGCTTGGACAGGGGACGCCTCATTGTCGATTTGTGTTGTTGTTGGCAGCCATGGATTTGCACATGTTTCTCAGTCTCAGCTTGTGGCAGGTCGGGGTGGGGGTGGGGGGTACTCACATCCCAAAGGGTGGCGCAATGGCTGCCGCAAGCAGGTTGACTTCCCCACAGTACGCCATCAATTCTTTGTTTGTGTTTCTTCACCCTGGTGTGTGGCCCCTACTGTTCGTGTTGTGTAATTCAAGAGTGTGATGTCTGCGGTTATGGATGGAATGCATATCCCTGGTGGGGTGATTGCCATGCTCGCTGATCACAGGTAGCCTTAGGCCTGCGCGAGTAGAAATCAGGTGATTTATTTGGGTGCGGTAGAATCAGTTGGCATATTCTGATGTCGTGGACGAGTTTCCACGGTTGTTTTCCTGACATGGGCGAGTTGTGGCCAGAATCTTGAGCACAATGCAACAGTGCGTCGTCAAGGCGGGCCAACAACTGCAGTCCCTTTAGCACCAGTCCTTGGCATCAATGTATAGAATATTCTGGTGCAAGACAAGCGCCTGCCCATACCATCCAACTGTAAGGACTGGCATGGAAAAGAAAAGGGAGCCTTTCGGCCACTCTTTTGCTTTCGAGAACAATTCTGACTCAAAACGCGCCACATTACCATATAGCTTCCAGAAAACTCTGTTGCCATGTTTGCTTGCCATAGAATTTGTGAATTTATGAAGCCCCATGTCAGCAGTTTTGCCTTTGTGGTCAAGCACGAATGTGCTATTCAACCAAAATTATGTCGAATGCCTCATTCATATGTGGGATCCCAATCAATTTGCCCTTAAATGCATTCTGCGTGCGCCTTTTTCTCACACCTTAGCAACGGCTAGCGGCTGTCCATGCCAACAGCCAGACTTGGCTATGTGCAGTGTCACCCATTCAGTGGCCAACGTCAATCATGTGTCACTAATCGAGTGAAGTGCCAGCAAGACTAAGGGCTAATTCACAATGCTTCTTCACGGGAGGTAATCGCAAACAATGTGCAGCTACACAGCTATGAAGCCTGCATGCTCGTGTCCCCAGCAGGCTTTAGATTGTCCTGCGTGCTCATTATAATAGCCGTACCACACAATTCTGGCAATTGCCAGTTGAAGGGCCCCCTGACAATCAGGCCGATATGAACGATTTTTTTGCTGTCATTATAACATCCAATTTCTTGTGAGGTTCACTTTCTGGAGGTTGAGCAACAACGACACCAAACACTGCAATCTGTTCCAGAATTTTGAAGGCGATTGTGTCCTTTGTGCCACTCAGCTCCAGCAGATGGGATTCATTTTCTCTCCCATGCCATGCCCATGATGACATTCGTCAGAGCCAAGCAACTCGTTTCTGACATCGCAATGCCAAAGCACTTTTTGCTTCAGTTCCCAGTCGCCCACTGGCAAAGGCACTTCTTTTGATGTACTATCATGACAAACGCTTCTTGGCATTAGGAGTTCATAGATCCCTTGGCTTTGTTTATGATATACATTAGATTTTCATGATCCTATCATGGACACTGCTTTGCTCAGGCAAAATAGGAAGCGGACATCTACCTCACTGCCTTGTTATGTAAAAATAATGATGACGAATGTGAGCCTGAAAGAACAATTGATAAGTGATTATGTGACATATGGAGATACATGGTGAAGTGTGGCATGGTGAATATGGTGGTGGTGTTACGGTGATATGTATGTGGGGAAATAGAAGGGGAATGGAACGAATGGTTCCATGAGTACAGTAACTGACGCACTCATCCTGTAATGCATCTGGTTACGGTCCTGCTTTCCGTGCCTGGGAGCGACCGAGTGCGGACCGAGCGCGAATGGTCAGCGTGATAATGATTATCAGGAAAACGAACACCTTGGCCCACGCTCGCACACAGTCGCTCCCAGGCACAGGAAGCAAAGCTGCACACAGATGTGTTACGGGATGAGCGCATCAGCTAATTATGGTGAGCATGGTGTTATGGTGAATGTGCATGGAGACAACGGAGACAGGAAGTGAACATTATCGCAGTGATTGTTATTTGCTTCTCACCATGAAAACGTCATATGTACCATATTAATTTTATGTATTAGCCTCCCCTTCGCCCGCACAATGATGATGACAATCACACCACGCGATGCCGTAAGTGTTGCATATCCATGCACTCATGCACCCCAACCCGCAACAACAGCGACACGGGTCGGGCCAAGATCCCCCCATCCCAAGCGCCGGAATATTTCGGACAGATGCCGTGCAACGTCTCACTGGCGACCCCCTACCCGCCAGCCCATGCACACCTTGGACATCATGCCGCAACACGCACTCACACCAGCGTCACCCCCCCCATCAAGGGCGTCGCTGCCCCGCGCCAAGCCCGCCGACGCTGTACTCAGCCTTCCCCCGCTGTACGCCTTTTGCCTTTGTCTGCATCCACCCCTTGCACCCCTCCACGCAAGAGTAACCCCAGTCCGCCATGGGCAGGACAGATGCTTACTGGTCGGGGAATATTTGCTCTCCTGCCTGTCTCATGCCTCCTTGGCCGGAATGCTGGCCCCTTAGGAGCGGCCGGCCCCCTTCGCGCCTCTGTCCCCACCGTGTCCTGGCCGCCCATGGAGAGCCCGTTGGCCGGGTCCTCCATGCAGGGCGAGGCGGACTCCTCCGCGGCGCCGCCCAGGCGCGACCACCAGCCCGGGAGGGCCGGAGTCCTCGACTCGGCGGAGGACACCGGGGAGGCATCTGAGGAACGTCCCTTGCTCGGTGATCGAGGTAAGGGAGTGTCACAGTGGACCAACGGGAAGGTTCACAGGTAGAAAGGCCAGGGGAGAATGTAGAGGGGTTGGCGGCGAGGCTGTGAATCGATTATGCCTGATGGGGGTGGTGTGGGGAAGGGGGGGTTACGTTAAGGCGGGGGATTGGCGTGGTGGCCCGTTTTGGGCATGTGGGCGCTGCTTAGGTGGCGGGAGGGGGCCGGGAGGAGGGCAGCCGGCGGGCTGGTCGGCTGGAACGGGGAAGGGGGGGCGGAGGGGTAAGTGCGGGGGGGCGCAGCGCGCCGTGCCTTGATGCCCATGATCCATGCGCGTGGATTGGTGTTGCGCGGATGCGAGAGTGCCGGCCCGAGATGGGGGGCGCGGCGGGTGTGGGGGCTTGGGAGGCGTTGTTCTCGCTGGGCGGTCGGAAGTGGGGATATGCAAGTGGCGTCGCACTGGTTCATATGCGTCGCTCGCCGCGGTCGGCGGCCGTTGGAGGGTTTGGGGGGCGGGATCAAAGGGCCGTGGCGCCGCGAAGAAGTGGTGATCGGGCGCGAAGTACCGTGCCGACACGAGAAAGCGCTGAAGGGAGCACGGAGACGGTCGGCGCCCGGTCGCCATGGGAGTCGCACGGGGACGGCTTGGGCGGTCCGCGCTGCGGCGGTGCGCCGTGCATCGTTACTCGACGCGAACCGATGGGAGTTTCGACGTGAACGAGCCTGATTTGCTTGCGGATGGGCGTGAACAGTCAAGCGACAGTTTCAAGCGACGGTTGGACGTTCGTCGGGCGTTGTGGTAGATGCTTGGCCCGCTGAAGCCGTTGTCGTCGCCACGGCGTCGGACGGCGCCATCGGTGTCTAGCCAGCGTCGGCATCGAAAGGACACAATTTGAAATGCGGCACCCTGCGCGAACTTGTGCAAGAAGGCGGCCAGAAACGCGTTCTTGACGACCAGTGTTTGAGTGCCTGCAACGCTGGTATGACGTTGGGTAGCCGGGACGGAATCCATTGCATCGGCGACATTGGGGGTGGGAACCGCGTGTGAATGATCGGCTCGCAACAGTTTTTCAGAGAAGTGATGAGCACCTGCGTGCGCATGGCTGAGTCCAGTTTCCATGGACTTGCCTGATGGTGGCGTCCTCTGGCCGACAGGGCTCAGGCGCATTGAAGATGTCGCCCTGGGTGACGCGTTGGATGCAAGTCCTGCCTGAACATTGTTGAAGATAGACCGTCAAGATCAGATACCGAATAGGGTGTTCACTTTCAAGGCACAAATCTGCATGCTGCAAGTGCCCTTTCGACAGGACGGCTTTCTGTTTAGTTGCACGGTGCTTAATGTACTGGCTAAGCCAAGCAGCGTTGGCAAGATATTTAAGGGTTCGCAAGTTGGCCAGCGACAAGAAAACATGACAAATTCAGGGCGGCTTTTTGTTTGCTATCCAGCCAAAATCCGCACTCCGTTTTATCCACATCCCCACCACCCCACACAGCCAACCCAAGCCAGCCCTCTGCCCAGACAAAGTGAGCTCAGTCCTTGTGGCTGTCAGGTACGAAAATAGGTATGAAATATCTGTTGGATGGGAAAGCAGCTTGGACAAGAGCACTGTGATCACTCTGTTCATCTTTTGAACTGGAAGGATTGTGAATGAAGGCAGTGGAGATCGCATGGGTGCCAGGCCAGCAGTATGCTGCTTTTGGCTTTTACTGCATTGGTTCTCTTTTGCAAGGTGGCAGAGCCAAAGATTGTTGACTATGTTTTTCCTGACCATACTGTGCCTGGTTGTCTGACAGTCAGGGAAACCCATGGCCATCCCGCTGCTGTTGCATCAGCCAAAGACATGGAAGTTCCTGCTCCTGTGAAGAATGAAGAGGAGGGTGTGGGGCTGCTCGAAGTCCCTGATGCAGATGTGGACAACACCCTTTTCCAGGAGGTCGACCTGCACATCAAGGTCAGCACCTATCCTTGAGGAATACTACGGTAGTTGAAAAGTCAAGCCATGTGCTACCTTACAACTTTCAAACCCTGCAGGAATTGTTGCGTATGAGCTACATGAATGTTGTACTCCTGTGCCGCTTTTCCTGCCTTTTCAGACTCGTGAGAAAACTATGGTTGGGTTTCCTGGATGTTAAATTTTCTTTGCTGATGTGTTGCTCATCCATTCTTCGCATTTCCAAGATTCAAAAACAAAAATCTTGAAACACAACAATGGTGCCAGCTGTGTGTCATGTTGTCCTTGGTAGTAGTGACTAACTGCGAAGTAAATCGAGTCCAACCAGCTGACATCCAGGCTCACAGACGCTGGCCCATCCTTGAGGCAAGATGATTGGATGAGGATTATTATCCAGCAGTGAACTGTAGCTAGTTTCTATGCAACGAGGAACTCTGAGAAGAACAATATGGTTCCGTTGGATCTAATCCTTTTGCTCGCTCACCTTCAGGCTGTCAACGTCCAAAGCCCACATGTCATCCCCGATGCAGTGCAAGCCTGGAGCGGTGGCAGACGCCACATGATTGCTTGGCTCTGCTTGTCCATCGTCCTCCTGGCCGTGCTGATCTGGTCTGTTGAGAGCTGGCTAGGCCCGATCGTCGCGATCGTTGGTTCCATCATGTACTTGTGTCCGCGTGCAACGAGCAACTTGCGGGCCAACGCCAAGTCCATCATGATCTGCAGTGTGTCAGCTTTCCTGCTGGACTTCTTCTTTGGCTTGAGGCTGATCTTGTTAGGGGCAGCATTCGCAGCAGAGGGGATGCATGGGTACCTGGGCTACTTGTTGCCAGGCCTTGCGCTCTTCCTGCATTCGCTCTTCTGCATGGTGGTCTTCAGGAAAGCCACCGAGATGTCCGTGCGCATCGCACCAGTGCACTTCGACACGATACAGGTGTCATGACACAATAGGATTGGCAATATGCGGCTCTCAGCCGTGCCTGCGGACTGGGCCCTGCCTCCCCGTATGAGGAGCCATAATTCTTGTGGGAATTTAGTGGGCGAAATGTTGTCATGAGCGTTTTTTGCTTTTGGCTGAATAGTGGCATCGCACAGTGCATGCAATCGTATAAAGCCAGGGTTCTTTTCGGTGGGGCTTTTACAGCCCGATCGACATGTTTTTCCACTGACATTGACATGTATGGTGATGCTGTACCGGTCCCACTCTGCCTTTATTCTGACGTCCCAGGGACTCTCTTGGGTCCTTAGATGCGCCGGGAACGTAATTGAAAGGATAGGAGGCAAATTCTGGGGCTCCTACTCTTGGCCACAAGGACAGTGCAGAGTGCTTCGTTCTTGGGGACGGCAACTCAGGGACGATGGCCCCAGAGGCAGGGGGGGTGTCCAGGCAATCCTTGGCACCCTCTGGTGGAACGATCGCACAGCTATCCAAGCGAGAGCTGCTTTCTCCAGCGACGTGCTGCCGTTTGTGGTGACAGGGCTATTGTGGCAATTTCCTTTCTTGGTGCATGTCGCCGTTGAGTGAGCCATAATTCTTTCCATGCAAAGTAACGATTGCTTTGGGAGGAGTCCGTTTTCCGGGATGAACGGGAATGTTCTGCCATAGTGCATCATGAGAACGTGTACAACGGGGAGGCACTGACACTTTTTACCGCGGCTCGTCTGTAAGTTCCCCATTCGTGCCTCTGCAATGAATTCTATGGGAGTGCGGTGGTGGAAGCAGACCACAACAAGTTGCTCGGAAGACCATGCGTGCTCTTGGATGATGCGCCACGCTGGCGAAAGGTACGTCATCATTGTAGCAAGGTTGACAACTCGTTGAAGGCGCGATGCATCAGTCGTGAAGCAGCAGAACCCTTTGCAGCGCTTGAGTGCAAACAGCAGTCGGCGTACCTGCAACGAGCAACGAATGCAGTGCGCCTAAGTCCATGGAGACAATGTGACGTGGTCGTTCTGTGATTGGGCATTGCTGTCGCGGCAGGAGAACAGAACAAGATCCCACGTCGAAATTTGAGTCACGTCTATGCCAACAGCACCCGCATAAACACCATGTCATGGTCGTTCAAATTCCATAGCTGCTGGGTCTGTCCAATGGCCAGTCAAACGGGGTGTCCAGCTTGAGTAAGCTGCGATAAAAACGGGGTTGAATTTAAGTCGACCACAGCGATGTGGCACTGGTCACCCTCATGCCCAAAGCTCCGAAAGAGACCAGACGCATTGAGATGCCCTGAGGCAGCACCTGCGTGGTGATTTTGTTGCGAATCAATGCAGGTCTGCCGCTAATGACACCATTCAGCCAATCTAGCGCCAACCAGTTCCAGACTTATTCTCCCCAGAATCTAACGCGGAAATCATTCAGGGCAGTAGCAGCCCTTGACACCCACGGCAAAACCCCAGCGATTCTCAGCTGCATTCCCACGAACATAGAGCGAAGCAAGCAGGAAATTCCGAAGGTTACAGTACTCCAACGCTGACGTGGGTGCACCGCGTATCAGGCATAGGGCCCTCAAGGTGCTCCCTGAGCGACGCGCTGGGAGACCTGCCTTTGGCGGACCAGAGCGCTGTTCTGGAATCATTCACCAACTGCCTATTAACAACCGGGGTGCGCAGTGTCCGCCAATCATTTTGCTTCGCTTCCGCCAGCCCATCCCTTTGGAGAATGAGTTGGGCTTGGGGACAACGTGAAGGAGGAACTGCCGCGAGTCAGTAATTTGGTATCTGTCGCGAATCCAAGGGCGAATTCAGCTTGAAGCCCATGGGCATTGCAAGATGGAGCATTGAACAGAAAACCTCTCTCACTTCCAAAACACTGGGCCAGTTTGCGTGTCGGGCGAGCAGAGTGTGCCTCCACGCCAGTAAATGTACCCACAGGCTCGCAGCGAGCCCTTACCGTCGACAGCGCTGTGGATCGGCTGCCTGCCCAACCCCTTTTGCCAACTCAGACCAACGCCCAGCAGGCCGACAATCGAGGCTCAGCCGCGGAAGTGGCGAGTGCCGCCTCCGGCCCCTCCCCAGAGGCCGAGAATGGCAGGGAGGGCGCCCGGGCGGCCAGGGCGGTCGAAAGCGTCACGGACGTCGCGCCCGAAAAGCGGTTCGCCGCCAATCGGGCGAAGGCGGCGATGGCTGCGACGGCGGCCGCGCAGGAGGCGGGCAAGGGGGCGGAGAGGGCGCCGGCGGGCGTCGGGATCCGGATCGACCTTGCGGGCGTGATCGCGGGCGAGTTCAAGGTCGGCGTGAGGGTTGCGGAGAGGTGGTTGCGGGAGAGCGGCGGGAATGTGGCAGCGGCGCTGAAATCGTGTTTGTGATTGGGGGAGCGAGGGCTACGGTGGGGTAGGTGCCAAAGGGTGGGATGGGAGGTGTGCCGACGTTCTGGGGAAGCAGTTGATGTTTTTTCATGGGGCGCCGGCTGTGGAAATGGGTGGGGATTGGGGGGGAGGCAGCAGAGGAAGCAGATACGAAATTTTCATTCAGCCGAAATGGGTTGTCATTTGTTTCGGCCTGCCATGGTTTGAAGCGTGCATTTGAAAAATCCTCTGTTTGGTGAATGCAACTTCTCAGCTGCCCTGGAACGATGTATTCACAATTCCCTGCCGGCACAGATAGTTCTTATTGCATATCGTAGGTTCGTTCAATGATGGCAGCACGTCGTCAATACTCGTCCACAGAATCACAATAGTATGCAGTGTCCTTCCTGAGTGACGTCTGTGCATGTTGCCTGACTGGCTTCCTGGTTGCATCTGCTGGTGCCCACAGTCCAGGGTTTGGCTTGTCCGAAAAACGCCTGCTGGAGTCCCAGTCATGGACCTGCCACCTGTCCGCATAACACATGTCCTGTCAGTAGCATCGATCTGTACGCATCATTGCATTTTGTTCTTGAAGAATCCATGCAGAAATCTGGCGCAACAGTTGGGATTGTCAAGGAAATTTGGATGGGGCCACCCTTACATACACATTCATTAGTGGTTCCTCCTGTTGGTGAAAATGCACAGACATCCATTCATATCTAGTGTGGGCTCCACAGCCCATTTGTCCACACATTGCAGTAGCTATGTCAACCACTTTCTGCATTTAGGCCCTCTAATAACAACTGTCCATCCATACCCTCCCCAGAGCACGACCTGTCCTTTCTTTCCAGGCAGAACGCCTCAAATTCCTCCAATGGGCGACCTGCCACTGCCTCACTGAACCTCTCGTCAGAAATCATGAACATATCCACCAGCTCCAAATCTTGAGGCCTCTTCTCGGGCACTGCCTCCTTCAGAAATTCCACTCTGGGCAGGACCTTCCTCTCGAACGAGACTGTGAAGAATTCAGGACATCCAACAACCTCCCTCACGTCCTTGCCCACCTCGTGCTGCAAAAAAGCCAACCTCCTCCGTATGTTGCGATCCAGCGATAGTGCTAGAACGCTGGGTGCCTGTGAAACCAAGCGGCGGATGCCCCGATCGGAGAGCCCCATTGACCTAAAGAACTGTATCTTTGGGATGACATCATCCTTGACAGACAGCCCCAGAAGGCGGGGCGCCCTGCGGATCATGGCCCGCACATACTCGTTCTCCATTTCCAAGTCGTTGTAGAAGAAATCTACAAGAGACTCGAAGTTTTGGGCAGAGGGGTTGCTCAGCACCTGCGGGTCGGCCACCACAAGGGCTCCGATCTCCGATGGGGAGTACTTAAGGCTCTTCAAATACCTCACTCTTGGCTCGATCACCTCCTTGATGGGCAGGTCCAGCAAGAAGGGCCACTTGCGCAGGGCTGTGCCTATATGCCTAGGCTCCATCTCCAACTCCACTTTCAGGTATTGTGCCCTCCGTCTCAATACCTGATCAAGGTACTGACCAAAGATGCGAGGATTTGCCACAGCTATCTCCCCAGCTACTTCGGGCTCCAGTTTGAAGCCTTCAAGGAACGCCAAGATCTGCATGAGGCGTTTAGATCCCAGCAGGCACAGCGGTTCCGTCAGCACCATTTGCCGCACGTCTTCTTCAGGTATCCCGAGCTCGACCACAAAGCGATACCTCAGGAATGCCAGCTTGGCCTCGACATGGTAGCCCAAGAACCAAGGATTTCCAGCGATCAAGTCCTTGATATTCCTGCGGCTGAACTCTGCCCTCTCGAATGCCGCCTTCATTGGCTCCAGGTCATCCTCGATGGATGCATAAGAGAAGGCTTGGGGAGCATCCAAAACGACTTTGGCGAGTTGCGCCTCGCTCAAGCCGACTTCCGTCTTGAACCAGTTCAGGCGCGCAGTGAGGTCTGCAACACTGCAGCACAGGAGTCTTGGGTGTTCCACGATGCACAGTTTCATACATTCGTCCCAAAGGCCCTGATCGTGCAGACACCACAGCCTGGCAACCAAATCTCCATCGTCTGCCTTTTGGATGTGCTTCTCCAGCTCCTTCATCAAGATCTCTCTCTGCCGGTTATTCAAGCCATAATCTTGGACATTCCGCATGACAACTTCTGCCCTACTGCAATCTCTCTTGGTGTCAGTTGCTGTCGAATGAACCCACTTGGGGCACAAGGCCATGTCTACCACTGGTATGGAATTCCATTCTTTCGGCAAGATGCTTTGTTGGGGCACCTGCAGGGGAGATCCAGCAGGCCTTGAGCAGTAAATCCAGTTGAAAAGGCCAGTCCTCTGTGCACCAACAGTTGTCCCATCCGACTTCACAAAGCAGCAGGCTGTCAAAAACGAAAGGCATCTGTGAAATCCATCAATCTCAGCCATGGTTTGCACATTAGTCCTTGCTTTCAATGCTGCCCTCCACATGAGAGTGGTACCAGCACAGTGGCACCACTGTGGCAGCCTGCATGCAGGCCAAAGTTTGTCAGCAGTCTCCATCACGTCAATGCATCAAATATCTAGCCAAACGAAAAAAGCGAGAGCAGCACTCAACAGCCACAAAGTACTGTGCAGAACGATGCTCAGCTTCTGTTTCTTACTTCCTGACAATTCTGTGTCGCAGATTGAATGCCCAAATTTTCTGATAATTCTGTCGCACTGTAGCTGTGAATGGCTGGGCACAATCTTTCAGAGGTTACTACTTTCATGGCGTCAACCATGGCGAGACCTTTGTCAGAAAGATCCCGCTGCCCTCATGGAGGCCATTCTATGTTGGGTGTCAAACCCGTGATGGCTTTGGACGTGTATGTACTTCCAGTATCCATCATCGCCAGCAACGGGTGGGCAATTGCAATGCAGTAAATTTTCAAACCTCTGCACCACACCATGTGTCCAACAGGGCACAATCCTATGTGGATTGGCTGCATTACAAGAAAATGGGATGAGACGTCAGATTGCCTTCTTTTGAGAGATGGGAGGGTTTTGGGACCCCGGGGGGAGGGGATCCAGTGCGGCGCTGAACAAACAATGCGATACGACCAGCAACACTGGTCTGGAGTTCATGTCTAACATCGCCTCTAAAGTGCATGGAGAGTGTTTTGTCATGTTTACCTGACAAGTATAATCAAAGGATTCGAAGGACACAACATGTCCATGCCTGCAGGGTGCTCTTACACACTTCAAGAAGACACACTGCAAATAAAGGGTATTGCAGAGTGTGGAGTCTCTAAATTGAAACCTACAAGTGAATTCAAACTTCTGTTGAAATCAAAACAGACTTAATCTCAAGAGTTTGATGCTGCAGGATGCGGTTGCTGTCGATGGTGTGGCAGGAAGTTTTCTGTGCTTTACTATCACATTTTTTTCATCCAAGGTCCACAGATGCCTCGGATATGTTTTGTCAATTGGGGACTGTTGTTGTGGCACCCCAGGTATTTGAGCAGTACTGCAAAGATAGTTTCATGAGATTTCATGCCAATACAGCACTGCTGTTGGGTGTTCTCCGATCCATCTATTTGCTGGTCCTCAATGCAGCACATGTAGACCAACGTAGGCAGCTACGCAGTTCTTGACAAAGCGATTTGATGTAATTCGGCACTTCACAGCTACCAACTGCATTGTACACCTTGGACCAAAGCAGCAGTCAACTCAATACGCTGCACGATCCAGCAATTCGTTTCCTTATACAGAAAAGTCAATTTCTACGTATATTACCATAGATGGCAACGCAAGGCTTCACAGGCCCAGTTGATTGTGCAATTAGCTTGTAATGCAGTGCAGTGAATTCTGCATGTTTGGTATCCCAAGGCCATGATTTCAAAGTACTTACGTCGACGGTAGGCAAGATATGAACAGCAAAGAACGCTTTTGTGTAAGCGCATTCGTTCTGTTACTCCATGGCGTGCCGAAACAATCTATTCAAGAGCAGATTCACAGAGCAGCGTGCGGGGAGCCGATGTCAGCGGTTTCGCGCGTTAAGACCGCCCGCCGGCATAGGCCATGATCGGCATGATTGATACACCGCCGTCACGTTGGTCTGGCAGACGCAGTTGCACGGTTCCGCCCTGTCTGTACTGTCCAGGTGGCCACACCGGCCGGAGGACACGCTCAGGCAGGCTCGAAAATCAGGCAGGACTGTGCCCCATTGAACAGCGATGCGCCTGCCCACAGGCGCCAAAAGCTTCTGCCCACCTGCGGCCACAGACGGGGCGCTGCGCCTCCCCAACGGAACGCGTCTTGCACCGGTATCGTCCGCACCAGGCGGTGCAGTGTGTTCGGCAGGTGGCGCACCAGCAGATGCCAAATGCGGTATGCGATGCAGCTTTGATCGTTCTGGTGTCATTCCCCATACCGATATGTGCCGGCACCCGCGTTCTACGCACGGTGCAGGATGCTGAAGGACAGGCGCCCCAGGGAGCCGATCTGGGCACCAGGTGAGCGCGGGCCGAGGCCACACGGGTCCATGGTAACCGGGGCTGCGCGCCACTGCGAATGACCATCCAACCCTAAGCGCTGTGGCAATCAGCGCCGGATGCCAGTGGCACCAATATGCCTATTCGAAAATCAAAGCCTCCGGGCGCGATGGCTGTGCCGGTTGCCAAACCTCACGCCTAAGCGAGGTAACGACGAAGAAATGTGTCACCGATCCCTGTGCCTGAAGATTTGGGGCCGTGGGCATTTCATTGGGAAATGAAGGATCGCCCGATCGACAAAATAGCACCAACGACGGGGGTGTCTGATCTGTACTCCGGAACAGTTGGCTGAGCTCGCTGCCTATGATTGGCGGCATTCAAAGTGCTTGGGATACCTCATGGAGTTCCAATCGTGGCCAGTTAAGATAATGCGTCAGGCCTGAATAAGTTGCTTTATGTCCATTGCTGCCCAAGCAGGAGCACAAATCGTCACAGAACCAGCCCCCCACACAGCAACATTTCTGCAAAGATATCTTGTGCAATACGTACAATGAGATTTGCCCGACTGCCTTTTGCTGCAGGTTTAAATTTGAGCAGTTTGCTATTCTTGTGGGTGTCGCCATTTGTGAGGGCAGCAGCCAACCGGGCCGATCTGCACGGCAGTGATTTGCCACCCCTTCCACAAGGCCTTGATCCTGCACGCTGTTCACAGCGATTGTGGGATCAATGGGTTTGGGAGGTCGAGAATGATAAAAGGAATGACCTGAGGGATGGATGCAATGGACCCTCATTGTTGAAGGCACTTGTGAAGGCTTTCGGGGTGCCCTTCTTTTCCCTGGGGTTGTTAAAGGTACCATGAAGTATACTACATACTTGACGATTGAATTTCCACCGGCTGCACCAGTGGTGGAACTGATGACACCCCAGTCTATCTGTGAAGACACCCTCTCTCCAAATCCAACTTCATATAGACGAACAGGCAATAAGCATCAACTTAAACATCAACTTGCTTTACAGCCAATTCACAGCATGAAAGCACTGACGGACCAGACGCATCCATGCACATGCTTCTGTTTGATCCACTGTTGTGAATAATGTGCAGCGCAACGCTAACTGTACCTTTTCCTCCACCACTCGAAACGGAGCTGATACCATGGCATTTCTGTTCTGCAGCTGGTCAACGATTCTCTCAACTTTTCTGGCCCTCTTCTTCTCCAAGCTGTTATCAAATGGCTTCAGGAGCCCATCACCATGCAAGATGGGGTCTCAGGATCTTTGGGGCCGAAACCATTATCAGGACTTTATTTGGTTGCCCTCATGGGCTTCATTTCAATATTGAAAGCACTGACCAACAGTCAACAAAGATATGCTACGGTGCGGGGCAGTTGGCTGGGGAAAGTAGCTGTTGTTGTTCCCTGAGATGTGCCTTGCAGGATCAATTGATCATTTTCAATTAGCAGTACAGGACAACAGGCATGACAGTGGAGAAAGCACATCTGCCACGCTTGCTTTTTTCAATATTATTAGTGCAAAAAATAAATATCAGTTCTTTTTGCATGCCCCCACCAGTGCTGCCAATCAACCTGTGAGATTCATCCAGTGGCAGATTCAAGAATCTGTCAGGATGGCAACACAGGATAGCCCCATGAAAAACAGCTAAACGCGTGATGGTCATTTTAAGCCATCCTGAACACAGCATCTGGAGCTTTTGGTGGAAATGCGCTGCCAATGGAACTCCCAGGATGCCCTGCGCAAGGTCGTGACAAAAATTTCTGATTCGCTCCGCTATCCGCCTGATTGTTTGGCTACTGAAAGGATGAGCTCATGCAATGTTTTCTTTAAATTCTTGGCCCTGAAGAGAACAATGAGGATGTGCTGTTAATTGCGCGGTTCGAAGACAGGTGCATTTGGTTCGGTGGCTGACCAAGTAAGAGTGATGCTTGCTCACAGGACTGGATTTCCTCCCAGCTTCGTGCAGCCCTGATCTGTACCACGTACAGGAAGGTGCTGCTGGCACCGAACGGGTGCATGGGAATGAATTTGCAGACACTCGTGTCTGTAGATGCAGGCAGGGTCGCCAACTTGTGTGCCAGTGTCCATGAGCTGTGGAGCCTCCCTCTCCAAATCGCTGTCGCTCTTTATCTTCTGCATCTTCAGGTGTTGCTCCACCGCACCAGTGCATTACGTCTGCTCTTGTGAGCTGTTGTGATACTTCCACACATTGTTGAACTTACCATAGGGTGCTTGGGAAGATCCGGAAAGAGGTTCAGATCGTGTACCATTCGATTATCACACGACCTAAAAGAATTGAGCTGGTTGTACGTTTGGGCCATACGCACTGCTTGCTGTGTGTCATATACCGATGTGCCATGTATGCAACATGCCCTTGTTGTTGTTGAAACTGCTTAGAATCCTCACTTTGCATGGTCAGGTGGACATATGTGTTGCTCCTTGTGAAAGCAATGGACATCAAGCAACATGTGACAAGTTTTGTACACAAATCCACAACGCATTTTTATGGACATTTGTTTACCATAGATTGTGTGTACCTTGATGTCGCACAGCTAATGATAAGGAAGTACTTATCACTGAATAGAGGCAGTGATAAGCATGCTAGTTACAGAAAGAAGATGCTAACATCCTGAATGATAGCCAGCAACAACTAAGATATTAAAGAGTGATTTTAGGGAGCAACTGTATACCCCACTCTTTTGCCAGATTTGGGGGTGCTGGGCTCTGACAACATGGGGTTGGGAGTTGGGACGTTCCAATTGTATTCCTTCTCCTGAGTCAAGAAGGTGCCGGACGAATGCCATAGCAAAGCATGCATCAGCAATAATGGTGAATCGAATGTGAAGTTTTCGGTGTCTCTCAAGGCAGCGAAAGTTCCACCTCGGGTAACAACTGAAATTATCTAGCTGTGGATCAAATATGGCGATTGCCATACTATTTTATTGCCGTTTGCTGATGCAGGTCAGCTATGGACTGCTGTCAGGTCTTGCCATCGTGGTTGCTCTTATGCCGCTCAACCGATGGCTAGCGCTCAGAATTCAGGCCGTGAATGAGGCAATGCTGGAGGCAACAGACAGGCGAGTGCACCTGATGGGCGAGGTCGTCAGGGGCATGAGGCAGATCAAGATGATGACATGGGAGGCTACTTTTGAGAATTGGGTGGGGTGCCGGGATAGGCTCATCGTCGTTAGTCAATGTTGAACAGATTCACAGTGCTGCGCAATTGTGTCCCCCTTTCCTTGCATGCAATGTAATACACGATTGAAATAATATAAGATTGAGCCATTCATGCAATTATACCCATCGTTGCATCAAAATTTTGGAACAATGGGTTTTTCAATGATCGGTGAAACACAAGTAGAAGTATATGCCACGCTGTCTGTAGTATTAACGAAGTGACTGACAAGAATAACTGTTCCTTTCTTATTATGACTGTGGTTGTAAATGTTAATGGTAAAAGTATATATTCAGCAATTGTGTGGCCTTGGCGCCCCGCCGATGCCAATATCACACATTGTATGCCTAATGGATGTGCTGCGGCTACTTTAAGCGAGCTCACTGATACCACACCACTTTGCGGTGTGTTCTTTACTTCCTTTGGGTCATGAGGTTCTCGGGCTGACACAAAAAACGAGGGGGCGTGAGCATTCACGAAATTGTACTCTTTGAGCCAATGATTAGTTTAAGAGACAACGCGTGTTAAACTCATTGCTGCTCCATGTGGATTACAAGGAACACCTCCTCAGTTCAGTCCGGTGTACTTGCATTGTACAATTCTCTGGCGCCATAGGCCGGAACCGGGGCAACAAGCGCCTTAAACTTTCCGGAAGGACGCCTAAAGCCAACGCCCATACATTGGTGAGGCCAAGCTGCGGCGCAGGTCACGAGGGCCAGGTGCAAGGAAATGGATTCACTGTCTTCCATCAAATATCTGGACGCCTTGTGCGTGTTCTTCTGGGCGGCAACGTCTGTCCTGTTTTCGGTGGCAACCTTTGGACTGTGCGTGCTCATGGGGCACCCGCTGACGGCCGCCAATGTCTTTCCCTCCATCTTCCTATTCAACATCCTGCGCCACCCTCTCAACGCGCTGCCCTGCGCCATAAATGGTGGGTGCGCCATCATGAAAGGGAGATGAAATCACTCGCGAGAAAGTGCCAATTTGGGCATGTTGTTTTCATCCGTGTCCAAACATCGTATAAACATCGCATGCGGAAGTCCATGCCCTCCAATGAGCTGCAGAGCGAAAGCAGTTCTGAATTTCTGGTTCCTGTTCCTGTATGGGGTCTGTGTGTACAGCTGCTGTGCTGCAGCGGTTGCTTGGAACCGTCTTAAATACAAGCTCTCATTCATTCACTACGCACGCTCATGCATAGTCCCGGCAGCTCGGTGGACGCATTGCATACATGTCAATCGGAAATCATGAAACAAGACAATGGTGACTTTTTCGGAGCAAGCAACTTCCCCTCGTGGACAATATTCCTTGGCTTTTCCCTTGTTTTTGCTTATGATGTGTTATGTACGGAGATGCAGGCGTCGAGACGCGCAGATGAGAAATTCGCTAACTTTGCACTGTCACGAACAATGTAAGTCGACTATGACTCCATCGACCCACGGCCATCAACGTGTCAAAGCAGCGCTCCACACTGGAGCTAAGAATTGAAGGATGGCGAATCCAAGCTCATCCAATGCACTTGGCGACAGCTTCTCGACAATGGACCTCGCAACTCTTTTCGTCTTCCGTTTCTTTCCATCCTGCCCAACTCCTTCATCATCGGTTTTGTTAGCAATGGCGCAGGGCGACTTCTTTTATCGCCGCATTTGCTATCGCGCCCATACTCGCGCTGCACCAGTCGCACAGCAGGTCTCCTTGCTAGAGCATTCATCTCTGAATTGTCACCTATGTGCAATCCCTCCACGTCTGCCCGGCCTGGAGCGCTCCGTCTTCCAGATGCCAGTACAGCTCCAGATTCTGGAGTTGCGACAGTGTGTAAATGGCGAAATGATCCGGGCAGGTGTTGTGGAGGCCATGTCGTCCCTCAGTAGGCTTCAGAGCTTCTTCGTGATGCCTGACGTCCAGGGCGACTGGGCTTTTGGCAACACTGCGTGCACCACGAGCGACGCCGCTAACGGCAAAATCCCAGACGCCGCGGGTGACTCACCTGGCGCTCCTCCGCCCAAGGAGGAACGCGTCGCAGCAGTCACGTTCGTTGGAGCTTCATTTGCCCATTTTGGGAATTTGGACGACTCAGCTGCAAAAGCTGAGGACGGTCGGCCGGCGACGTCTCTGGCGAACATCAACCTCGCCTTTCGGAAGGGGACCCTGACGGTAGTGTTGGGTGACGTGGGCTCCGGAAAGAGCTCCCTGCTAGCCGCCATTCTGGGGGAGAGCTCCATGCTGAGCGGCGGGCGAGAGGTGAACGGCACGCTGGCGTACGTCGCCCAGAATCCCAGCTGTTGGATCATCTCGGGGAGCATCCGAGACAATGTGTTGCTGGGCGCTGAGTTCGAGCAGCGTCGATATGACGAAGCGCTGTGGGCCTGCGCGTTGGACCACGACGTCGATGAGATGGGGGGCGATTCGGTCGACGTGGGCGTGCATGGTGCCAAGCTGTCCGGCGGCCAGCGTGCGAGGTGAGGCTGGCTGCTGTGTGCAGCCGTCGCTGGGCAGCGGGTTGTTTACGGGAGTGTCAATGTGCGTTGGGATTCGTGTGCGTTATCGGGTGTGTCTTCGAATGGAGATCACCGGCAACAGTGCCTTTTGCAAATCTAATTTGATGGCTATGCCCATGTTGAGCCAAACGCGGTGAAGCTTCCGTGCATCTGGTTAAATAGCATGCAGCGCTAAGGGACTGGCTGCCAATTTTCGAAACAACTCTTCCCAGGGGCGTTGAGTGGCGCACTTTGATGTTTTCTCATATTTTCTTTGCCCAAGCGACAGTTCCTTTGGAACAGATTGGCCCTTGCACGCGCCCTCTATCAAGACAGAGACGTCTACGTGTTGGACGACGTCCTCTCTGCGGTGGACGCACACGTGTCGCAGTGGATCGTCCAAAGGGCAATAACGGGGCCGCTGATGTCGTCGAAGACGCGCATCGTCGTGACCAAATCGGCTCAGTGCATCGCCGCTGCGGACGCCGTCCTGAGACTGCACAAGGGCCGTCTGACCAGCGTCGCGCACTGCGCGTCACCCGCACCAGGAAAGGAAGGCGGCCAGGACGGTGAAGATGGCGCAGACGTTGGGAATGAGCATGACGACTCTGAGGAGCGAACAAGGCAGCGATCATCGGCAAGGATTGATTGCCATCATGCATACGGTGGAGAAGACGGTTCGCTGCTGTCCGCAGCAGAGAAAGACGTCGGCGTCAGTGTGACAGACGACAAAGAGGGGGATCCTGGCGATGCGATGACGGGATCCGTGAGCTGGGCGGTCTACCTGGCGTACCTCAGGGCTGCCGGACTCGGGACGGTCGCCGTGGTGGCCGCAAGTCTGGCGCTGACTCAGACTACGAGCAACGGGGCGGACGTCTGGATGGCGCGCTGGGTGGACGCCAACGAGCGCCTGCCGGGCTCCACGGGGGCGCAGCTCAGCAGCTACCTTGGGTGCATGTTCTTCGCCTGGGCCGGCGCCAGCTTGGTGTTCACGCTGTTGCGAGCCTTCTCGTTCGCGCGAGCGGGCCTGCAGGCCACACGCCGCATGCACCGCAGCCTGCTCGGCAACCTGTTCACGCTGCCGGCGTCTTTCTTCGACGGCACGCCAACCGGCCGGATCCTGTGCCGATTCTCCACGGACCTTGCCCGCCTGGACTTCGACGTCCCTTTCGTCGCCAACATCTTCGTCGGCGTGCTCTTCTCCCTAATGGGCATGGGCGCCGTCCTGCTCTACGGCCAGCCGTCCCTCGTCCTCGCGCTGGCCAGCGCGGCCCTCTTCTGGAAGCGCCTCGCGCCCGTCCAGTCACCTCTGGACTGGTACCAGTGGCACAGGCGGCTGTGCAGGGACGCCAAGCGGCTGGAGAGCGCCTCCCTGTCGCCGGTCCTGTCGTCGCTGTCCGAGTGCGCGGAGGGGGCGGCGACCATTCGGGCGTTCGGCGCCCAGGGGCACTTCGTGCGGAGGTACGAGCTGCTGTGCGGCGCGCACCAGCGGGCGGTGCACATGGGGATGGGCGCCCAGCTGTGGATGTCGCTGCGCATGGACGTCGTGGCGAACGCGCTGACGCTGTTGGTGGTGCTGGCGACGGTGGCGGGTGAGTGAGGTGGATGCGCGGCGCATTGGAGTCGCTTAAGGGCCTGGATCCAACTGAGTGTGGGGTGCGCTTCATAAATTTATCGTGCGGTGTCCCATGTGTGCTCTTCATACTACTGCGTGCACGGAAAGATAGGCATACGGTGTAAGTATTATGTCAGGGTTGGCATTGCGCTGAGTAATGTGGGGCTTAATTAAAATGAGTCCAGCCTCCCGGAGCAGCCTGCCCTCCCCCTGGAAATTTTGGAGCTCTCCATTCTCATACCTCGTTTTGGTATGTCAACACACCAAGGCCCTGATCAAGTGAATTTGGCGAGTAACCTGACATCCCACCACACAACATGTTGTCGACAAGCAGGCGGCAATGGCTCGGCAAGCGCGGGCTTTCTGGGCTTGAGCATGACATACACCGTTCCGCTCATTCGATTGCTCCGGGAACTCGTCAGCACGTTCGCGGACATCGAGCAGGGCATGGTGTCTGTGGAGCGCATCGTGCAGTACGCCGGGCTCAAGGGAGAAGAGGAACTCAGTCCGGGTAGGTCTGTGCCAAGAGATTTCTCGCACGCTTTCATGGCCCAGTCGCCACAATGACAATGCATTTGCGCAAGGGAACCATGTATGGCGTGTCCAGTCGAGGTGTGCTGTTGTTGCTGCAGAGCGCACAATTAACTTTCCGCCCATTGAGGGGAATGTTTTGGTCAGGCATTGCGTCTGTTTCAAGATCCTGAACATCTAAACTACAAGGCAATGGACCAGCAACACGCTTTTAAAATGGGTGCCGTGGCGCTGGCAATGACGAACACCGGTGCAGTGACAATAATGTGCGACGGGCATGGATTCGGACCCAGCTTCATTTAGTACGGGACGACTTTACGTACAAGCACACATGCATACAACAATACCTTCGCAGTGAGCGTATGTGCCTGCAGACTCGAGGGCGCTGCGGCCGGACGCCGATTCCTCGGCGGCGGCCGTCCGCTTCTCCGACGTGCACCTGCAGTACGGCCCCCAGGGCGCCCGCGCCCTGAGGGGCCTTTCCATGGACGTCCAGGCGCGGCGCAAGGTCGTCATCTGCGGCAGGACGGGCGCGGGCAAGAGCAGCGTCGTGAACGCGCTGCTGCGCCTGGCGGACATGCAGTCAGGCAGCGTGGCCGTCGACGGGGTGGACGTCTGCGACGCGAGGCTAGAGGACCTGCGGCGGTGCGTGGCTGTGCTCCCGCAGACGCCGTTTGTGTTCGAGGGCAGCCTGCGCAGCAACGTGGACCCCGAGGGGAGGTACGGCGATGAAGACATCGGGCGGGCGCTGGAGGAGGTGGGTCTGGCGAGGGAGCTGTCCGCGAAGCCGCGTGGGGGCGGCGGGGGAGCAGAGGCGGCAGGTCAGGGGACATTGTCGTTGGCTGCGACACCGCGAATCGCGCTCAGTCAATTCCATTGGGGTTGTCGGTGTGTGCACGAACCATCTGATGTCAGTGATGCTCAATGCGCATGGTACATTGACGATCGTGGCACGAACGCGTGCACTATGTGCGCAACGTGATTCTTTCGCTTCCGTGTTGTTGTGGATTGTGGGGTCGTGTTGAACGAAGACTGCAGTGCTTGACCGTGGAGAAATCCTTCCTTAATATCATCGCAGCACAAGACACTGGCAGAGGTTCGTCGCCGTCTTTGCACTCTTCGGCCATTCGGCGGCACCTTTAGGGACTCAATTGAACCCACCGGCCACAAAGCACTCAGCGGATTCCCGAAACCTGACCAATTTTCCGCCGCGGGCTGGTGTCCGCGCAAGGCTTCTTCTGAGCACCCGTAGTGAAAATTCCATCATTCGGATCTTGAAGCTTCTTTTCTCCCCACTGCCAGGCCGTGACGTCAGGAACGCCCCTGGCGACACCAACCTCCGACACATCCTCAACTTCCGCCTGGGACGCGGGGGCCAGGGCATCTCCGAGGGCCAAAAGCAACTGCTGTGCTTCGCGCGCCTGATGCTCGCCCGCCCGCGAGTGGTCGTCTTCGACGAGCACACTGCCAGCGTCGACGCCGCCACCGCGGCCAAGATGTCGGACCTGGCTGAGCGCCACCTGGCGGATGCGACGGTGATTCAGATTGCCCACGATCTGGAGTGTGTGAGGCGCTGCGACCGCGTGTTCGTGATGGCCGACGGGGCAGTGGTGGAGCAGGGCGCGCCGGCCGAGCTGTTGAGGGACGCGGGGTCTAGGCTGTCGGGAATGTTCAAGGCACTGCGGTAGCCATTTGGCATCGAAGAATCTGACGGGAAGTTCTCCGTGTTGCTTCTATTCCCGTTGCGAGCATTCAGTTTTAATGCGTGAAGATATTTCTTCATCCATGTTCATGCGCCTTATAAAAAGCATATGCATGTCGAGCTGTGGATGTCGTCGCCCCTGCCTAGTTCGTCCAAGGAAAGCAATGCCAGCGATGTGCTCAATGAAAACCCAAGGCAGAGCTGCATCAGCGTCCGAAATCGGTTGCGTTCCTCGTTGGTTTCTCCCATTGAATGCCGTACCGTTCGTGGACACGTCATCGAATGGCGAAATATTGTTGGACACCCATCGTTGCACAAATAATGAAGCACTTGCATTGAACAATTGTTGAACAATTGTTGAACAATTGCAATGGGGAAATGGCTTTAAGCGGTTGGTGGCCCACGAAGCGGGGCTGGGACGGGGATGCACACCTCGCGCATCCAACCGATATGAAAATTCAAAGCCTCGGGTTGTCGCTGTTGATGCGCTAGGTGCGGCGTTTGGCAGATGGATGACAGCCCATCGTCCCTGTGCCAGCGTGCGCGCGGTCGTTTCTCGCTGTTGCTTCAATGTTGAATGTCAGCCATGTCCCCATAAGAGCCCAACCGTGTTCCATGCCATAGGCCATTGTGCACAATCTTCACCTTCCTGTGCATACCCAGTGGCACAAGCAGCAGAGCAGCACAATACCATGATCGCATGGGATTCGACATGGATTGGCTGCACATTTCGCCTCGGACCTGGCAAAAAAAATCTACACTGTTCCCACAGACCCAATTGGAGAAGTTGTGTCCTGGGACGTTCGCAGTCTTCCAGCTTTTCAATTTTGTGGCGGCAAACAAAAAAGCACGACTGTTTCAGCAACACCGAATCGTTCAACAGAAGAATCACGATTCTGCGTGTCTCCAGCGATATCTACATCATCGTCCACCACTTGGTAAATTCTTCATTCTGAAATTACGTACCTCTGCCCTTTGGCTGACTAAGTGATCGCCATCTAGACTCTCTGTCCAAGAATAATTCCAAGTTATCTTCTCGCGGATTCAGCTCAATGTCACTCCTGTTTCACGAATATTGCATAAATATCCACAAACTTCTGTTGTCTCCCCATTGTGGCTCTCTCCAATGCTATTTATTTGGTTTGTTTCCTGATACCAAATTGCCACCTCAGCTGCCCTCAGATGGGATTTCAATATGCCCTTTTCCAATGGTTCTTTTGCTATTATTATCAAGACAACTTGTGATCGAATCAACCTCCCTCATAACTGTTTCGCACAGCTTTGAATTCATTGTTGCCTTCACTTTCTTGCGCGCCACCAGGAGACCACTGACGACAACACCAAGAGCCGCAACAGGTGTCTATGCGGTGAAATCCCCGCTTTCCAGGTCCTCCACAGCCTTTTCCAGACTTTCTTTCTCCCACGGTTTGAGCTTGCCAGCTTCCTTTAGATAAGCCTGCGAACTGAGAATTTCACGTAGCAGCTTTTGGATGATCGATCTGTACTCCCCGTCTAGTGTAGACGGTGTGCCACCACTTGGGTCAATCCTGCCTGCAAAATCGACCAGCGTCTGAGCTGCCACTCGGCGTGCCTTCCGAAATTTCGCCTCCTGCCTGAACAAGATGTGGACAAGACCAGGCTTCTCCTTTGTTTGGAACAGATCCGCCAGCTTGCCCCCGTGGCTTTTGAGGCACTGCAGAGATACATCACCAAAAATGGCCCTGTCACGTAGCTTGTCGGGCTCCGAGGCATCGCCCTGGAGGAAGCGAGCGAGCGCCATGGCGGCACACGCAGCGGCGTGCTTGTTTCCCTCCAGACACTCTTTGATCATCGGCAAAATGACAACTTCGAAATCTCTCACTCTTTTGGTTTTGGCGCACAGCCATCTAACCTTGCATGCATCTGGGTACCAGACTGCCACCCTGCCGTTCATCACGGTCTTGATCTCTTTGCATATGCGCATGACTGCGCCAGCATAGTCTCCACAAGCGCATTTCACTCCGGCAAGCAAAACGGACATCAGACAATTCAAAAACGAGCACTTTGGTGCAAGCATCTTTTCGGCCTGCACTATGCAGTGCATATCAATCTGAGCCCCTGCCAAATTCCGTCTCCCAAGACGCCCCCTCATCAAACTGACTTCCTTGCTTATGCCTTGAATGGCATCTTTGTCCATGTCCAAACGGCGTTCGTAGCTTGAGTACCATGCCAACTCAATAAAGATGCGGTATGCCCTGATGCATTCACTGAACAGACGACCATCTTCCAGAATCTCCGTGCACCTGAGAATTTGCGACAACTCCTGCAGTACAGAGATAGCTTGCTCATGCCCCGTAGCGCAGCCAATCTTTTGCTCCATCCTATTTCCCAGCCGACTCATCGATCTTCTGGCGAATTGCCTTTCTCCCGTAGATGCAAGACTCCCGCGAACCTTCTTCACTACGTCAAGCGGAGGTTCTCCTTCACAAGCCCCGTAGAGATATGACCAGACGCACAGACCGCAGCCTCCCAGTATCACTGGCCAGTAATTGTCAACAAGCATTGCCACTGCCAAGGCAACCTGCACCACATAAGATCGCTGGCGCCCGTTAGTGCAATGGCCCCTCGTTGACGGATTGGGTCTCCTGCACCTTTGCAGATGAGCCGGGGGCGAAGTGTAGCCGTGCGCGGCGAACGGTCGACCACCAACACCAAAGACGTTGTTTGTTTGTTTTGTCAATCTTCGCATTGTTGTCTAAGACAACGGAATGATGCTTGGTTGCCTTTTCTGTTTCTAGACACTGTTGATGCTTTTCGGTGACTCCCTGAGCAGCAAATTACATTTTCACGTGCAGAATTCTCCATTGCCGCGTCTGCAAAATGGCACAATACTCATCTACTGAATTCTGAAAAGACTAACTTCTGCTAATCAAGTCCATATCGGCTTGATTAGCAGAAGTCAGTCTTGTCAGAATCCGTGCATGCAACACGCGTACTCTAACCGTATGCATCGCGCGAAATTTGTAAACAACATAATCCTTAACATATGATTCATCTTTTAGGTAAATGCTCAGAGCTTTTGATCAATTCAAGGGATATTGCAATACCAATGGCTTGTCCACTGTAACGACTAGTCCCAAATGTGCATTCGATGATGCAAAGAAGCTTAACTGCAATACATGGATGCATATATGTATGTACACATATTGTATGTATGCACATGCAATGAAATATTTTGCGCCCCTTGCATGTGATACTTGACACCGCATGGGTTTACGACATGATGTAATAAAGAAAGCTCACCTGTAAAGCAAACAAAGCAAGATCATGTTCCTTATTAGGAATTATACAATGGCCCCAGCAGGCACGAATATCGGAAATTGAACAAACGAGCGTGGAGACAATGAGATAACTCAACATCTTGCAGGTGGGCAAAGACTGGCCACAAAAGTATGGATCCAGCCATCGGGGCGATCGATCATGGTTCCGAGCAAAGACAGCAACAAAGCCAGTTCAGTTGGCAGTGTCCAAAAGGCAGATCTGCCTTTTCACCTGCAAGGAGACTGCTGAAAGGCAGCTACGATGGATGCAAAAGTATAGCTGCCATCTCCTGGCAGGACGAGTTTTCAATGCCAAAAAGAACGTTAAGTGCCTGCTGCTGTGAACAAAATGTTTGGTGCCATATTTGATGTGCGACGCCATCATGCCAGCGGTGTTCCTGTTCACCAACATCCTGACAGGTGCAAAGGCAGAATTTTTTGGTTTTGAGGAGTTCATCCAATGCAGATCCTGCACCTGTGCTACCAGAAAAGGCCTGCACGTCCATGACTGCAAACACATGAGGTCATTGCAGCCTTGAGACTGTACATTTTCGACACCAGTAGGTTAATGCTGCATTAACACAATATTGAAATGCCCAAAGATGCTCACCGACTGGAGAGTAGAGCCTGAGTTCAGGTACATGGACCGGGGTCTTCCTGTTAGTCATCGAGATACACAACAGAGATATCATATTCTGAAAGCTGAGTTGAACACCGTCAATGGACAAACCATCCCTGGGCAGGTCAGCTGGGGCTGGTGAACAGTATGCAAGTTGCCAGGAAGAGCAAGCAGCCTTGTGTACCAGGCAGAGGAAACAAATAGAAAGCACTGTGGGATGGATGTGCACAGAGTGATGAGAAATTGAGAACCATGGCGTCACACTAGCTGCTGGAGTTTTCATTCAGATCGCACAGGTGCTCTGCACGCGCTTCGCTGCAGCTGGTACACACCTTTCGAGTGCCTAACTTCTCCTTGTATCCATTCCAAGGACGTGAAACTGAAGTGGGTTGCTTGCGCCTCCCTTGAACCCCTGCGACGTGCTCCGCCCCCGCTGTGATCGATGCGGATGGAAGGAATCTTCCGCAGCACGGTTTGCGCCCAGGTGGCCAGCTGGACGATGTGGCTCTTTGTCAAATCCGACAAAGTGCCCCCCTCTGCCGGCGAGATACCCCGTGCCCCTGTCACCCCCTGATTTTTACCCAATGTGCGAAAGCTTTTGGCAAGGGCTTTCACCCAGGCACCCACCCCGCTGCTCCCCAGCGACCCTAGCTCAGTGGCTTCCGTTGGCCCCGCAGCAGGGGCCGTTGACGCCCTTCCCTTCCACACTCTGCAAAACAGCGCGGCCACTGGGGCCCCGAAATGAAGCACATTGTCAGACCGAACTTAGCGGGCATTAGAACCAAAATATGTCCAACCGACGTTCAGCGTTGAGCCATCTGCAAGAATTTCCCATCCAGGCCGGGGATCACCTCACACAGCCGCAAGCGTGTTGTCGTATTTTGACCGCTGTCAAAGCGAATTCAGAGCTCTTGATGCTGACCTGCCAACAGCGCCACAACCGTCACAAGGATAGGCACGGCGGGCCCATAGCTCTTCCAACTGGATGAACAATCACTTCCTCTCCGCCTTCTCTTCGGGGTTCCCCCTGGCGCCTTCTTGCGGAGGCCAGTGCCCCCCCTTGCCGCT